ATCGAGGTTGGAGGTTGGTTGGATTGAGCTTAACGATGACATTCAAAGGAGGTTTCTGGCCATGTCGCTGTCGCTAACGTGGTCAGAAAGTGGATTTGTTTCTGTAATAAAAATAAAAGAGGGTTTATTTAAAAAAAATTGGTTTGGGGCTATTTTGAAAATTTCTTCATTCATGTATAATATTATTCAAGTTCTCTTTAAATGAGTCAAAAATGGTTGTCCTTCAACAGGGTTCTTGGTATTTTGAAATAAGCCTTTGATGTTAGTTCCTTGGTCAGTTGATCTTAATCTTGAAGATTTGAATGTTTCCTCTATTCTGATTTGGATGAAACTTCCTAATTTGAAGCTTCATTTGTGGAATGAGCATGATTTGAGTAAAGTAGATAGAATCACTTATGCTCGCGTTTGTATAGAGATACAAGCAGATTTTGAGCTGCCACAATCTCTAAAGGGCTGTTTGGTTGTTGTTGGTAAAGTTGTGTATTTATGACACAACTTGGAAAGTTGTTGTCCACCTCATTAATTTCACTTTTATACTTTTCTTTGTTTGTTTTTGATTCCATTGGAATCATAAAACACTTGTTTGGTTTGCAAAATGAAACTTTAATTGTTTGTTTGGAAAGTGTAAAAAGTGGTCCCTACTCAAATGATCATATTGGTTGGAATTATTTTTTATTATTTTTTCCTAACTTCAATGTTAGCTTTCTTCTAAAATCATGTCTTTTTTTCATGAAATCACTTTACAAGCCACATCAGCATATGAAATCACTTTACACTATTTTCACAACTACAAACAAACAATTGAAAGTGATGAAAGCTGACATTGGGACCCACTTTTTTACACTTTACATCCTTTTACACGGTAAAAACATACAACCAAACAGCCCCTAAAAATTAAAGGTCCTAAGTGGCAGAGAATTTGACCAGCGGGTGGAATATGAGTGGATACCTCCTAGGTGTACTCATTGTAAGGTTTGGGCATAAACTTGATAAATGCAAGAAAAAAACACTAAAAAAGTCTGGGTTCCTAAGGTCTTGCCTGTAGGAATTAGTGTTGATGTAGTCAACAATGTAGATAAGAGCCCACCTCTTGAGGGTTCTGCTGATTGGCAACATGTTAGGAGTAGAAATTCTCCTATGTCTAATTCTATTGAGGGGAGGTCTGATTCTCATACGAGTCATAGTCCTCCTGTGACTCCTGGGGTTGTTACTAATAATGGTTTTACCCCTCTTTCTGTTCTATCCATGATGATAATGAGATTGATATATTTATTGATCTCTCTCAAAAAACTGGGTATAATAAGAAAAATGGCCCCATTCTTCCATCTAACTCAAATGTCAGGGGGCAAAGGAGTGTAAAGGGCAGAAGTAGTTCATCCCAACCTAGATGAAAGCTTTTGGATGCTGGAATATTAGGCGCCTTAACCACCCTATAGTAAACAGAAAGAGGTTAAGAATTTTCTTAATGTACATAATATTTTTTTTGGTCTTTTAGAAATAAAAATCTAACCTATTCTTGCTTCTGCTATTACCATAAGTGTGCTCCCAACTGGAGTTTCTTGCATAATTTTGATCATGATGTGCATGGTAGAATTATAATACTTTGGGATGCTTCAGTCATAAATGTTCAAAGACGTCTCTTCATTACCTCTCAGCTGATCCATTGTCTTATTGAGGATAGAAGCACCTCCTCCTCCTCTTTTTTTTTGTTACAGTCAAGTCAACCAAAGAACCATCCTTAGGGAAAATCTTAGGTCCATTGGATCCTCTGATCATTTATTGTGGGTTGTGCTAGGTGATTTTTATTGTCTCTTTGATATTGAGGAGAGAATCCAAGGGAGAAGTGTCTCTAGAAATAATCTCCTAGAATTGCAAGGATTTATCAATGATGCTAAACTGGTAGATATAAAGTTTAAAGTGTGTTTCTATACTTGGTCTAACAAGCAGATGTTTTGTAAACTTGATAGAGTCTTGGTTAATGATTCCTGGCTTGATTTACTCCCCACCACTGATACTAAATTCCTGGCTCCCGGCATCTCTTATCATAGTCCAGCTTTGATTTCTTTCATACTCCTGTTAATATGAGATCATCTTTTAAATACTTTTAACTTTTGAAGTGAGCACCCCAGATTTCAAAGGGTTGTTTGTTATGCCTGGAGGAAGCAGATACAGGGTTCACCTATGTTCAGAGTTGTGTAGAAACTAAAGTTACTTGAAGCTTAACTAAAAAGCTTCAATGCTCAATTTTGTGGGGGGATCTCTGCTAGAGTCAAAAAGGCTATCGAGGCCTTATTTCAGGTTTAGATTGATATCCAAAATGATTCAACAAATTCTATGTAATGACCATAAATTTTCGATACTAGTTTAAATAATTTTTATGGTATTTTAAAATATTAAATTATTATTTTCAAAAGTATATTTATATTTTCTTAATTTTCTAGAATTCTCTATAATTCCAAAATATGGTCTTATATTTATTGGTTTTGCTAAGAACAGATTTAATAGTTGTGATGAATACTTATAAGTTACTATTTGGTCATGATATTATTAATAATCTTGTTATTATTAATGTAAACCTGAGCTTAGTACATTAGCATATATATAAATATATATATAAATATTTGGTTGTTAATATTTTGTTAATATTATTAATCATTTAATTATTAAGACAATGGTTATTTTTATGTATATGGTAATATATCTCCATAACCATTCCCCCCTCTCTCTCAATTATTCCCTCTTAGGAGGGGTTAGTCATCTAGAACTTAAAACTAGAACTGGGATAATTTGTGGGATAAATTTTTAAGGTGTTAGTCACATAGAACTAGGAAATGGGATATTTTTTTATAGTGTTAGTCAAGTAGAACTTTTGTAGAACTAGAACTGTATTATTTTTTTGGTGCGTTAGTCAAGTAGAATTCTACTAGAATTAGAATTGGGATAATTGATCATAATTATCCCACAAATTATACGACTTATATATATAACCATAAGTTCTCCTCTCTCAAATTATCCCACACATTGGAAAGAATACAATTGGGAAAAAAAAGTGAAACGCCACCTCCCTCCCTATTGGTTAGTTTCTCCGCTTAGAAAATTTCTCTGTCATGAAGTCAATCATCCGTTCATTTTTTTGTCTTTACTTTGTTTTTTTGATGATTAGTTCTTTTATTATTATCTTCAAGATGTATTACTTTATTGATAGCTTTTTGACGTTAAATTACTTTATTATTATTTGTTTGATCAAAGTTTTCTCTCCACAACAGTGGTTTAGGTTAAGAATATAGTGTTGGTGGGTTAGTGCTAAAGATATGCGGGCTATTTATGTTTTTTTATAAGTTAGAAAGCAACTTTGCGATCACATTGATGATTAGATGTTGAATGGTTAATGTTGATATCTATTATTATTAAATCGGCTCAGTAAATTGATTGGGATATTTATAGTTCATCTGTCGATCATCTGTTTAGCGGCCATGGATGATTCCTGTGTACATTTCATTTATTTTCTGATTTGGTTTCAGCGATCATGATGAGATTGGTCCAAAGGGTTAATGGCTAAAAAATGCTTATTTTTCTTTTTTTATGATGTTATGAGATTTGAACTTCGACATTTATGATCCTCCACTAGAAGCTCCACGAAATGTTGCTGATGCAGACGATGACTCCGATAAAGAAGATGAGTTATAGACTCAACGAGCAGCTGTAGGAGCTTGGAGATAATTTATATTATTTTTAATATACAATTATTAACAATAGTAATTTATCCTCCACTAGAATTTGCTTATCAATATTATATTATTTTTAATATACAATTATTAACAATAGTAATTTATACCCACCATTACCCCCACCAAATTATCCTACCAAATTATGCAACTTCATAATATTATCCATCATTATCCCACCAAATTATCCTACCAAATTATCCCACTTTAAGAATTACCCATCATTGTTCCACTAAATTATCCCAGTGTTAAAAAATTATCCCACTTTACCAATTATCCCAGTTCTACTTAAAAAGTTCTAGGTGACTAACCCCCCCTTAATCTCTCCCTAAACCTTCCTTTTCTCTTCCTAACGTGTGCCAAATCCAATCACGTTCTCAACCAACAACCAGAATTCTCTCTCTCCATATTTATTTCATTCCTTAATTCTCTCCCTCTCTCTCCTCATCATTAGATTCTCTCTTTCTCTCTCCAATCAATTTCTCTTAGCCTCTCTCTCACATTTGCTATATCCACTCCCAAACAGTAATTTTGGGAGTTGGATTGCCAAAAATGCCCTTTTTGTTGCCCTTGTGTTATTAAATGCAACGTAATTAATACTCGATTTTAGCACTAACCGGATTTGTTTCTTGGGATATGTTGTGTTATTAAATGCAACGTAATTAATACTCGATTTTAGCACTAACCGGATTTGTTTCTTGGGATATGTTTCTTAGTAAATGAGATCCATAACAATTTTCAACGTAATTAATACTCGATTTTAGCACTAACCGGATTTGTTTCTTGGGATATGTTTCTTAGTAAATGAGATCCATAACAATTTTTACGATTTGAAACATTGACTGCAACGTAATTTGAAACATTGGTTATGCATTTAAGTAAAAATAACAAACTAACACTATTATTTAATTTTTACGATTTGAAACATAATTTTTACAATGGATCTCATTGACTGCAACGTAATTTGAAACATTGGTTATGCATTTAAGTAAAAATAACGATTTTAGCCACTAACCGGATTGCGAATTTTTATGGTGTCCGATTGGCTTCGAATTCCGATTTCGAATTTTTATAACAATTTTCATTTCCAATACAATTTACACAAATTACATAAAATCGTTTTTTTCAAAAATAAATTACACCACTCAGAATCAAAATTGATTTTGACCCCTTAGATTTTTACATATAAAAAGGCCAACAGTTTAAGTTTTTCAAATCACAATCACAACTCAAACACTCACAACTCAAACACTTACAATTACAATCACAAACAATATGAATTCTGGAGATTACAACTCCATAAATCTTGATGAAGTTGAATTCGTCATCGACGAAACACAAAGTGATCCATTCCAGGATCATAGTTCATATGTAGAGTTTGAAGACATTTCAACCGATTTCGGTAATCCGGAAGGAGGTTTTGCTAGTAGAGAGGACATGGATGCTCATGTAAGATATGTTGCTGGCTTGAGGAACGTTACTTTGGCAATTCGTGATTCGAAGGGAAAAGACGGCCGACGGCCCAAAGTTCGATATTTATGTAGCCAAGGTGGCGGATACAGACCAAAAAAGGTTACTGGAACTAGGTCCACTAAAACGACAAAAAATAATTGTCCATTTTGGTTGGACGGAATGGAGTACCCTGGAGGGCGCTGGTACTTTGAAGTCCGGGAGGGGAGACACAACCATCCATTCCCGTCTCATGCTGTGGGATCTCGTTTAGGTAAAATATCCCCTATTCAACTTGAAGTTATTAGGGAGCAAGAGAATTTTAATTTAAGCCCGAGTAATATGTTGGCGTCCATGAAAAGGGCTGATCCGGAGAACAAATCGTGTACAAGTTTACAATGCTGTCAGTAAGGTGCGTGCCCAGAAAAGAGAAGGTCGGACCCCGATGAATAATTTCATCCATTTACTCAGGCAATTGAACTACATGTACGACGTTCGGACTGCTGATGAATCTTCCGAACTTGGAGATATTGTTTTCTGCCACCCGGCTTCTTTTGTGATGGTGAATGCATATCCGGAAGTCATGATGATTGATTGTACGTACAATACCAATGAGTATGACATGCCTCTACTAGAAGTGGTCGGTGCAACAAGTACGGACAAAACGTCCACTATCGCCTACGCATTCATGCGAAATGAGAGACAAGAAAACTACAGGTTTGTGTCTTAATGAATTTTAATTTTTGTCATATGTTTAAATTTAAAATTGTTAATTAACATTATTTAGTACAATTGTTTGTCAATGTTATGAATAATGTTAAATTGAATATTTAGGAGGAGTTAATATTGTTATGAACATTATTAGTATTGTTTAATTAGGAGTTATTATTTTTATGAACATTATTAGAATTGTTTAATTAGGAGGAGTTATTATTTTTATGAACATTATTAGAATTGTTTAATTAGGAGGAGTTATTATTTTTATGAACATTATTAGAATTGTTGAATTAGGAGGAGTTATTATTTTTATGAACATTATTAGAATTGTTGAATTAGGAGTTATTATTTTTATTGGAACATTATTAGTATTGTTTAATTAGGAGTTATTATTTTTATGAACATTATTATATTGTTATTTTTTTATTGTTATATTGTTTAATTAGAACTTATTATAGTATTATTAGGAGTTGTTACTGTTATGAAAATTATTATATTGTTTAATTAGGACTTATTATAGTATTATTATTGTTATTAACATTGTTATTGTAGTATTGTCATTAATATTGTTATTATGTTAATTTGTTGTTATAAATTACAATTGACAATTATTTAGTACAGTTATTTTGTCCTACGTTTAAATTTAAAATTATTAATGTTATATTATTTTGCAGGTTTGTGTTACAGTTTATCCGTACTTTGTTCGTTAGCCAAGTGACACATAATGTCATTGTAACCGACCGAGATTACGCCTTGATGCATGTTGTCGAGTATGTTTTCCCAGAATCCAGGCATCATTTGTGTCGCCGTCACATTGAGCAATGCGTGCTATACAACGAGCACTGCAGCAACCTGGTTTTTTAAAAGAGGCGGCAGAAGGATTTAAATTTCGTTGGAATTGGGCGATAAGTGCACCAACCATAGATGACTTTAATGATAGATGAGGACGTCTGGCAGCACATTACTCGAATTGGGGAGCATTGCTGAACTACTGCATTGACACATGGATTAGTCCGCATTCCCAAAAAATCCTGTCAGCTTACATCGACCATTATTTTCACTTCGGAAGCTACACAACAAATAGGTAAGCCTTGTGAGATTTACGTGACTAAATAATCGTTACATGTAGTCAACATTAATAATTAATATTCAAGTTCAATTGGTAATGCAGGGTCGAAGGAGAACATCATCGCGTCAAACGACATTTAGATGGTGGTCGGTACCCATTCGATACCGTACTGGAGAAACTTCACAAGGTGATGGAAGGCCAAATCTGTGAGATTAAGAAAGTAGCGAGAGTTAACGCTACTAAATCCAACACAGACACCCTTGGAGATACGTTGTTTGTTAATCTGAACAGATCAATCACGTTTAAAGCATTCGGCCTCATAAGGAAAGAAATGCAAGTTTTACAAGAAATGGGTCAGGATCCAACAACGTGTGGTTGCTACCTAAGGAGAACTCATGGTCTACCGTGCGCACATGAGCTTCAGTACTACATCATAAATGGGTATAGCATTCCGTTGGATCAAATACATGATTATTGGAAAAAGTTAGATATTCAGTTTCCAATATTTCCTAATGATGCCGCGGATGGATCCCCGACTCCACCAAATCCAGTGAGGAGGGCGTTGTTCGAAGAAGTCCCTGATATTACTGCACCTCCTACTGCTAAAAAGAAAACCAAGGGTAAAAAGCTCTCTAGTCTCCGTGTACCTTCGGCGTGGGAGAGGGTTGTGAAACAGTACGGATTTAAAAAGTCTCCAAACAAAAAGGTAATACTACATAACTTATGAATTTCTATATTTGAAAATTATGATTTATATTAGTTACTAATTTATTATTCTCAATTTAACATTGTCAACCTATGCATTTGTAAAGGGCCCTGGACGTGTTGCTTCTATCTCTGAATCACAGGGGAGTCCAATGAGCACATCCCAACGTACGGGGCCACCAGTATCACCATCTTCTCCAAATCCTCCGTGCTCAAGGCCTCCAATGTCAACCCCTTCTTCCAAAGGCACCACGTTCATCTTTAAGAATTCTGTATTTGAGAGAGAATTCCCGCCCTACATTAGAAAATACATAGATCAATGCACAGATGTAGCGGCAGACGGAAATTGTGGATTTAGAGCGGTGGCTCTAGCAATTTACGGAACAGAAGATGATTGGGTTAAAGTTAGACAAGACTTAGTAGCAGATCTACAGAATAGAAGCGCCTTGTACGCTCGAATCTTAGGTGGGAGGAGTGCGAGGAGTTCTAATGTGACTAATCTCATCCAATCGATTGCTCACTACCATGGACCAGCGGATGATGATTACTGGATGGCGGTACCGGATTGCGGTCACGTAATTGCAACAACATATAATGTTGTTTTCATGACATTCAGTGAACATGGAGGAAATACTTGTCTGCCAGCGATATTAGATGAAACACAAGGACCTCCAACCCGAAAGGTGGTGTGCGGACATCTTAGCAATGATCATTGGATTTTGGTAAGAAAATTACACTAGTCGACGATCATATAAACAAGTTGAATTTTAACTTTAATTTTTTATATAAGAATATAACTTCAATATTTGTACATTTTTTTCCAGTTGCATATGAAACCAGGGGATCATCCGGTACCACCCATAGCATTTTACTGGAACGACCATCACGACAAATCTGCAGATGGTTTAGATGCACAATTTGCATTCTCGATCGGTCACTTTAACCGTCTCCACAATGAAGATGGAGAACGTCGAGCAGCAACAAGAAGAAGAAAGAACAATTAATTAGGATCGAAAAAACAATTGATGTATTTCGTTGAGTAGATTAATACTTTGATTTTCTAATAAATTTTATTATTATCCTTCATTATAGTCTAACACTTCAAACATTTCAAACACTTAAACAAATTTTATTAACGATTTTAAAAATTCAAATTATATTAAAATTAAACCAACATTTATATATGTTCTAAAAAAATAGAGGACTGTGGACTCAGAATTAATGAACCGAATTAATGAACCTTAATGAGAAGCATTTAATGGTCGATGTAAGCTTAATTAACAATAAAGGGCAATTTCGTCCATCCACCACCCAAAGTTACTGTTTGGGAGTGGATATAGTTGGACCCCTCTCTCTCCTCCTTTTTCTCCCCTCCGTCTCTCTCATCTCTCATATCTCGTTCGCTCACC